CTTGGGTGTGAGTCAAATATTCCTAATACAACGTTGGCCAGGCCAAACTGATGACCTCACTATAATTTAAAAATACTTACATGAGCTCTAATTCCTCTTGGCATACAGGAATTAATACAGATTTAATTCTTAGCATTCCATTTTTTAGCATTGAACAGCAACACAGGTGACAGTTTGTCTGTTTCCCTACAGAATAATGGTTTTAATTCAAACACAAAAGAAGTTAGTCTTGTTCCAGGCTACCAGAACGATGCCCACAGCAGGGCTCCTATGCAATGAGCAAAAGACCAATAAAGAGGATCAGAGACTTATTTTTACCTCTACTTTGTGAGCCAGGAAAGCAGCCTGCCATGTCAGTGTCAATCTCTGAGCTCTGCTGTCTGTAGATAATACCCATTCTCTTATGTCCCCCTTGAAATACCCAAGGAGAAAGGAAGTATAAGAGACTTTCAAAGCCATGAGAGATTGGAGCAGGGGGCAGAAGAGATGATAGAAAGAATTCAATCGATTTTGTAGGAGAACTTTAAAATCAGCTTGGCAGTGAGAAGACTTCAAATGGTTTGCCTCTTCAGCCCCTGCAGAATGCAAATTTTTGGTGTGCCAAAACAGCCGAGCTTCTCATCACAGCATATGCGCCTTTACCTACAGATGCCCCATTCTCAGATTCTGTCTCTATCTGTACCTGGTAGACTTAATCGACAAGTTTATTCTTTTTACATTTGAGGCCCAAATCAATGAAGTCTAAAATGTATTCATTCCACACAGAAAAATGACTTTGATTAAATTTAACTGAAATACCACAACCAGCAATTACAAAGGCCCATACACACCACTAATTGACAAATGCGTAAACATAGGCTGAGCCAAACTAAGTAGCTTACAGATGATGTTCCAAAAAGATAAAACGAGCGTATTAACATATCTGTTCTGTAAGTTACAGCATAGCTGCAGATTTAAGCTCTATGGTATCAGATGATGATTTAAAAGCCTGTATTCCTCTGAACCCTCAGCATCAGCTTCCTCTAACTACATGATTATTGAATGTTTCCAGAGAGTAGATGCAGTAGAAGCCAGAAGAGACCAAGGCTTTATTGTAAATTGCCCAGTAAAAATGGCAAGTGATAGGTTATGGGTTTTATTAGACTAACTGAAGAGAAATGTCATCTCTTTTTTTAGAGATCCCAAACTTGGTTATTTTTATTTTTGTTTTATTTAAATTTGCCTGCATGAGCTCCCCCTGCCTCTTTTTCTACAAGATTACTACTAAATAAGAAAACTGCTGGTTTAGGATACACTGAAATTGGAACGTTAATTCATGACCATACAGATGTTGGCAAAAAGCCAATGCAAGTCTTGAACTTTATCACGATAAACCCCTGGCACCCACTAATCACAAGATTGTATCTTCATGTAAGATAAGGGGAAGATTTTTGGCATGGGAATGAACACATACACCTAGCTGTTTGCAAAGGCTTGCAACCTGGCAGCCTTTCAGTAAGGTTTCACTCACATAGCTGTTGCTGTATACTTTCCAGCTATGGCTGGGAAGTTGATAATCCTTAAGATATGAGGAGAGTTTTGATTTCTGACACAGCATTCCTGAGATAAATGCAGGATCAGAGAGACGCTTTGAAATTCCCAGAGATACCCCACTGGTAAACTGCTACATGGGAACAACTTTTAACAAAGTGTCTTTAAAAAGAAAAAAAAAAAGTTAACTCACAGAACTTGTGTTTGCCATCAAACAATATATTAAATGTAAACCAGACATGGAAAATAAGAGAGTATCCCAAAGCCTGTTTTTCCAAACTTTCCTAATGTACCTTAGTATTTTTGTCTACCCCAGAGATAAGAGCTACTATTTCCAACTTTATTACCGTTTCTTGTAAAAAGGGTTTTATTTCCCTTGTATAATTCCTTCCCACTCTTGTCACTAGGTGTCATTTCAGAGCATAAACTTGTATTTTAAGCAGTCACACTATATAAGGACAGTCACCTTCATATGGTCATGAAACTTTCTTGTCTATACAATTTGAAATATAAATGTTTCATATGCACAGTTGTTCTATCACAGAATGGCAGGGGTTTTGGTAGAGACCTCTGGAGATCACCTAGTCCAACCCTTCTACTAAAGCAGCTTCACCTTGAGCAGGTTACACAGGACTGCATCCAGGTGGGTTTTGAACACCTCCAGAGAAGGAGACTCCACAACCTCCCTGGGCAGCCTGTTCCAGTGCTCTGTCACCTTTGATTAACTGATTTATTAGCTAGTTGGCAACATGCCTTATCATAGATCAACATATTTACCATAGATGCAAGATTGTGCATGTCACTACCAGATGATAATTGACTAGAGGCAAGACTTCTACATCATTAAGTACATTTTTGTCTACCTGACATACCCACAAAAGCAAGGACTTGAAAAATGAAGCCACCTAGAAATACAGAGCTGCTGACATACCGAGGTCATGTGCCAGCTGCCGAAGGACAAAATATTTTATACTATTCATGACCTTTTCCTCATACATTTAGCCCCACCCACAAGACACAAAAATATCACAGGAAACTAATGCCTGCAAGTTATCACTGTGGAGCAGTGCAGATAGCTACATAAACCCCTACAAAAAACCTTGCCCTCTGCTCTTCCATTCACAAGCATCATGCTGCACTGCTTCAGTCCATGCACCCCTTTCACTCCTCTGTATATATTCCTTCACCAGGCTAGCTTCCTGTCAGTATCTGATATAGTAATTGTGTCTCAAGGTTAAGTGAGTTGTAGTTACAAATGGCTGGCACTTCAGAGGTGGAAAAGGGAGAGAAGGGTCCATCTGGGATAGTGCAGCACTGGAAAAGTAAAAGGGCAGAACAGCAAGTAGCTCAACTTCTCAGTGACTTGCTTTACAATACACACTTCAATTTAAGGGTTTGGAGTTTTTTCACTATTTGAGTGACTTTGTAACTATACAGAAAAAAGAACACAGAACTGCAAGGGACTGAAGGGCTGCTGCCAATGCCCAGTATTTCTTTAGTGCACATGTTTTCTAATTAAATTGCACAGTTTTCTCTGATAAGAAGGTTTTGTAGGTGTAATCTACCCATGTCAAACATCAGGACTGCAAGTGCCCAATTACTTCTTATCTAATTAACCTGCTTTACACTAATTCAAATCAGATTTGCACAGGCAGCATAAACCTTCAGCTTTAGCAACAGCTAAGAAATAATTCCTAAATGCAACACGCACTTCTGTACCAGATATTCAGATAAAAGTTATTTTGTGGTTCAAATCTCTACCACTCAGCAATGAACAATACAATTTCCTGAGGAAAAACTTCAGTCACGGACTAAAGCATCATGCTATTTCACATCAACTGCCCACTTGCTGTAAAGAGCAATGAGAGGCCTCAATGGGGTAGTGCTAAAAATACATGAGCAGCAGCAGGGAGAGAGGCATGACAAGTTCTAATTCAGTGTCCCTCTTCTCCCAATTTTCCCCCTCTGCCTCCATCCTCCTACTGCTCCCAAAACAAGTCCTCCTGTTTAGCATCACAAGCAGAACACAGCATTTACTTTGAGACAAGAGCGAAGGGGCTAAATGTTAGCATACACCGTCTGCGTCTAATCTAGCCAGACAACCACCACCATCTCTTCCCCCACTAGTGATACAGCAATCTGAGTTGAGAAGACATGTTGTGACAGCTGCATCCATACCCCTGGCAGAGCTGCACTCCTTTCTTGGGTCATCTAGGTTTGCTAGTTTGAGCAAGGCAGCCACAGACTGCAAAGACATCAGAGCCAGAGGAAGTTCAGGAATAAGCAGAGGATCAGATACTGGTATGGCAACAAGGGGATCCCCTTGCACCAGATCAACTGCAGCGTTTCTGGATAGGACTAAGGCTTCTCTAGAGGCAGGGAAGCAAGTGTTATTGGATTCTTTCTTCCCTTTGTTGTTTCTGGGAACCCTGGAGAAGTCAGTCAGTAAGCATAGTAAAAGACAACGCGGTCTACTATACTTGAGAAAAGATAAGCAGATAATGAGGTTCAGATGTAGGGGACACCAGAATTATTATCAGGAAAGAGGAACTTCAATCTAAAAGAGAAACAAAGCAAGAACGCTCCATTTTAAATCCACCGCAGCATCTGAGTATTAAAAAAGATAGATATTTATTAAAATGAAACAAAATTTCAAAAGCTATTAAAACAACAAAGCAAATCTAACAGCTATGGGATATACCTACTGCATGAAGCCTGAAAGATTTAAAGTGGGCCTTTAGCACCAGAAGGCAGAACACAGATCCATTTCCATAAATGAATATGGGGGCATTCTACAGGTAAAAAGGACACCTAGATGATTACTCCAGTGGTTTTGAACCATTTGTAACTATTATTAAACCAGTATTCTTTTGCAGGCCTACAGTACCAGAAACTAGATTGTTTGTGATCAACGCACAAGCTAATCTACACATAGTTAAAGTTATTTAATGCCCATTTTATTTCCTGAGTCCTTTAAGACTGACTAAATATGCACAGCACAGCAGCACTCATCTGCAAGTGCTGCAGTTAGAAATAGAAGAGAAAAGACAAAAGAACAGCTTACATCCTTAATCTTTTCTTTTACTATTGCAGTCATTTCTAGGCAATTTATCGGCCCTCTTACCATATTGCTTCCGAGCTGTAACATGTATGGAGACTGGAGAGTTAACTCTTCAGCTAGCTTCAAGACCTTCAAGTATAACCCAATCACCAGTCATTTTTCATTTCCACAGTCTTTCATAGCATAACATAGCACCCCATTACTTGCAGAGCGTACCTTCACGATGAACGTACATGATGTCAGTGGACTTTGTAGCCAAGGGTTCTACTTGTAAATCAAAGCATCTTGATTATATTAAGTACTAAATGACACTGTACATGAGATCTGGTGAAATAAGTGTGAATTCTTCTGTCCTTACACATATCTTAGGCAAAGTGAAATAGCCCAAATATTTTAGAAGTTACATTACCTGTCAAAGGAATGGAACTGTACAGGCTGCTCAGCAGCTCCATCGCCAAGAACTCCAAGGTAGGTTGGTGGCAGAAGACCAGCATCCACTGCAGTCCCATCAGCTGGCGTGCTTACCAAGCTTCTCAGGATGTCCTTTACATTGACGTTTTTTGCAGCCGGTACAGAAGCTTCAGGCTTACTGTCCTCAGTTCCTGTCTCGCTTCTGCCCTCCTCAGACTTATTTACTTCTAATGAGAGCGTGCATAGTACTTCACTGATTGCATCTGGACCTGCACTGACGTTCGGAGGTCCTGCTTCAGCAACACTACTGGAACTGGGTTTTTGCCCTGAAGCCGGTTCCTCCCCAAGACCAGAATCCCTTCTTTGTACAGATGCTGTACTTTCTGAATCTGCAATGAAGGCTGAAGCACCAAGAGCAGCAGATGGGTTTTCCACATCTGTTCATACCAAAAATAGAAAACACATTTTAAGGCCATTATTAACAGAATTGCACTCACCACATTGCTCCTAAAGAAGTAACACCAATAGGTGACAAGTGAAATAACACAGCTATAAGTATTTCCTCTTGCCTACTTAGAGATTTAATACTATCTGTAAGTATTTAATAGGAAACTTAGAAGAGAAAAATTTCCTTTTAATTTCTGAGAAGCCTGAAATGTTAAGATCCAAAAATTGAGACAAGAAAATTGAAGATATTGACTCAACAGTCAAAGAATGAAAATTAATTGATTGCCCTAAAGAAGAACACGAGAAAGAAGTCTTACAGCACAAACAAAAAGCTGCCAGTCTACGCGTATACATACTTAACCTTACACAAAATAGTAACGTTTCTGCAACAAACATTTGTGAATAGCTGCTTCACTGAGATTAACCTCCTCCCACAGAAAAATCAAATAGAGATTAGGTTCTTCTCAGATCAGAAAGAGATACATAGGAATACTGAGGCAAAATTAATATTATAATGTTGTTTATTTAAGTTGTTATAATGTGCATATTTATACACAATTTCACATGGACTTCTACAGAATTTTAAGATGCATAAGCCACATTATTTCACTTGGCCAAATAATTAACAGTTCACCTGTAGCAGGAGTTTCATTATTTTCATTCTCTGATTCCTTGAATGACTGGCTATGGTTTGGTGGCCGTCTTTCATTCTGGGGTTCCAGTATATCTCTGTATTTCGAAACCATGAGCACGGAAATAAAATATACAACAGCCAAAGCCAAAAACTGAGCCTGTTTACTATCCTCCTGTAAAAGAAGGACACACACAGAGATTTTTCCATTACAATTTCAGCAGCATGTTTATTTTTCTGTGAAGTATGCCCAGTGCTACCATAAACAGACCGAGAGTAAGCTGATATGTCAACAATGGAAGAACAATATTCTCTAGTCACAGTTTGTCTCACCTATAAAGCTAGGGAATACAGCAATTGTATTCAAGTGGCACTAATCCTTTCATTTTTCATTTATAAACATGACAACTTTGATTAAGGTTGTGTGTTTTGACTACATGCTTCGAATTAGTGCAGGGACTAGGTCCCCTTTATTTATTTACAGGTGTTTACTATGTTTCCTCAAATGTGCCAAGATATTAACAGCATTTGCTGTTAAGTACAACCAGGCAAGCATACTCAACAAAATTGTAAGAGCACTTATAAACTAACATGTATTAGTTAATATTTTCTGGAATAATTTCCAGAACCAGTGTTAAGGTTTTATTTCATCACCAGATTGTCCAGACGGATGTACTGTACTATGAAGAATTTAAACAAGAGCTGGTAAACATGCATTTGCTTTACAGCTGTAACTTTGCAAAGAGATTTGTAAAATTTTTCAAAGAAAATCTTAAAAACAAATCTTAGTATGAGCTATGTCAGGTACCTCCGCAGAGTACTCGGTCACTCCTAGTGAAACAGAAGAAAGAGACACATCCCAGATCTGACTAGACAGCCTCTGGCTATCGAAGGAAGCTTTGTACACTCTGGGATCACAGGAGAACTGACCAATCAGTAAGAGAAAGGGATTTTTTCCCCTCTACATAACAGCTCAAGTAGCATTCAATTCTTCCCTCTGAGCAGTTCAAGAAAGTAAGTTAAACTATTAAAGCTCATTTTATCATGATTGTAGTTCCTATCGAAGTCCCACATTCCATAAGAGTTCTTTAATAATCTATATAGGGAGAAGTTTATGAGAAGTTCTCTAAGAATTAAATAACAGCTGGATCCTCATCTCAGGGAGAAGTTTATGAGAAGTTCTCTACTAAGAATTAAATAACAGCTGGATCCTCATCTGTAGCACTGAAAAAACACAACCCATATTCCCCCTCAGCTCAACCCAAACCTTTAACTTTCATAGAACAAGACAGAAACAGTAAGCTAGTAACAGGTTAGCATCAAGCAAGCACAATGCGAGATTGATGAAAGTCCCCTGCAATGGTAAGGATTATAAAGAACTTTCCTGCTAGATGAATTTTTGCAAGACAGTTTCCAACTGGACTTAATAATGTGATCCAGTGAATTAGCACTACTACTTATTTTTTCTGCTATGTTTGTAGAACTCCTTGAAATCAAGTTCATATACTATTGGAAGTACTACTCCTGGTGACTAAGCAGAATTCATCTGAGTTCCTCTACACAGGTTCAAATCATGCCAATCACATTTCTACATGCTGAACATAATCAAAGAAACTGCATGCAAATCAAACAAAATATTTAGATGCAACTATAAGAAGCTCAAATAAAAGCTTTAACAAAATAGATCTTTCAAACTCTACTTTTCCGCCACAGCTCAACACAGTAACCAAAAAGCACAGTTATTGCATCATTTTATATTTATTTGTGAAACAGAAAAACTTGGTGGATTAGATACACAAAAAAAAAAAAAGCCGAGGTTGTGCGTGTATATTACTTTTTTAAAGAAAAAAAATGAGTACACAGAATGTGCTTGATTTTCAAGTCTGCATAGAGAGGTTGTGGCTGCTGCCTCCCTGGTGTTGGATGTGGCTTTGAGCAACCTGCTCTAGTGGGAGGTGTCCCTGCCCACGGCAGGGGGGTTGGAACTAGATGATCCTTAAGGTCCCTTCCAACCCAAACCATTCTGTGATTCTCTGATTATTTTACAGTTGCCACTAGTATGGAAGATTCACTTCCTGTTACTCTTTTTTCACACTGATACTAAAGCAGGGGTTGAAAGAAACTTATTTCAACCAGTAACTGCTGTAAAGATAAAAAGCAAAGATCCTTCGCTATTCTGGATAGAACAAAAGTCACTGTATAAATTATTATACTTGCTAAATAGCCCAATTCTTGTAAAATAAGTTCTGGTGTCCAAGCTTGTGGCCTCCAATGACTCACTGCTGTTACAGCTGCTGTACTTGCTTACAGAGGTGTTTCTTTTAAGCAATCAATCTCAATTTCCTCAATATCAGCTATAAAGTTGCTGACATAGGGCAAAGATATTTTTAGTCAATTGAAGACTAAAAAACATATGTATATTTACAGCACACGCACACAAATTGGTTCCTCTGAGGGGAAGTAAAAGAATTACAGATGACCTCTAATTTCTAATTAGCTAGAAAGACAATAATTTTTCAAGAAGTATACATAGACTTCTTTATGATACATAGTATACCTAGACAAACTGTTTATGTACAGCACGTAAAAGTATATATTTATACTAAACAGAACATTCTTAGTATTCAATAGGTAGAATTCCAGAGAATCTGCTCTTAGGAACACACCAAAAAGCCTGATCAGCAGGCAATGATTTCCACCTCTCCCTCTTTCCAATCCCAAGCAGTACAACTCATTATTATGAGTTTCTAATTACTGTGAGTAGTATTCAATTTTCACAAATTCAGTTTAGCAAACTGCATAACACACAGCAAGTATTGAGCAAACAGATATATACAGAAATCTAGCTACAAAGAAAACAACATTATTTGTAACTTACTATATCTCTGAACACTACTGCTCGAAGTCGATTAATATCCATATCCTGCAGAAGCCTGTCATGGTCTCGTATTGGAGAAATGCCACCAGTAACAATGTCCACTGGACTCTATTAAAAAAAAGCACAATTGTTTCAGATTCTGCTTTTAAAAGCATTCTACCAAGAATCATTAAGTGTGTACAATCACCCACTATACATCATATTGCCATAACTAGAGCACAAAGATCAGATATACATCTAGTTTTTAAAGGAAAAAAAAAAAAATCTGGTAAATTCCTGTGACAGATTTATTTCTCTGTGGAAGGTTAAATATGTAAGTATTAAACTCACATCTTGGAAAAACTACTTCAGGATTTCCAGTGTTCATTCCTGTCAGCTCTATTAAAGTATCAGTAGTGCAGGTAAAATTTAAAAACTTATCCCTCTCTACAGAGTAATAATTACGACTCTTGTGTTCCTGAATATGGCTTTAAACTTGCCTTTGCTGCAGACTTTGCTGTTCCTATAAACCCCTGCACTGTTTTTTGGTTCTTCGCCATCTCTCCAGTAGGCTTCATCTGTGCATGCTGCTGACACTCCAAACAGTTTCTTACTGCTACCGCACATACTTGAAGGGAAAAGAAATGTTAAGAATTACTCTGGAAATAGTAATGCCTTATCCCTTACAGAGACGTAGAATACATTTCTGTTTATCACTTACGCTAAACAGTTTAAAGCACATCAGTAAAATTGTATTTTTGTTTCCATAAATTTTAAACAGTCACAAAACAATGCTCAAAATTCTTTAATAATATATAACTAATAATTAAAACTAAACTATTAGGAAATTATGCTATATCTAATCATTATTTCAAAGTAAGTTAGCATCCCTTGTTGAAATTTTACCATGCATACAACCATGGGGCAGGGAGGGTGAAGACAGCTAAATTTCACAGACTAGTAAGGAAGAAATACAAGTGATACACTAGTGAAACAAATGACAATGTTTGCTTCACAATGCTCTGTTATTCTTGGACTAAATGTTCTGAGGTTACACAATTTATTTTTTTTAGCTTCACAATTGCACCTGTTTCATCTTCTAGTATTATTTTCAAAGGAAAAAAGAACTACCCCACCTCTATACCTGTTTGCATCCCATAAATCTTGTTCTACCTGCACAAAGTTTTAATTGCCTAGAAAGGGAGAGGAAGGCTAGTTACTGTTGAGGCTCTGAGCTGCTCTGGCACTCATGCAAATTAAACTTTTCATTACAAAAAGTCTTAGAGCATGCAACTAGCATGAATACTCTCCTCCTGTATTAACTAACTGAACCCAGTTATGATCTTGTACGTTCTCATTTCCAGAACAGTCATTACTTTTTTTAGGTAGTGACCACTTTGTTCAGTCCAATTTGATGCAAACATACCATAATAACTGAATACAACTACTGCCCAATTTGAATCCTGCTCTTTAGAAATTTACATCTCTATTTTTTACCATGCCTTCATCTGCTGTCGTCAAGATTTAAACCTCTTTTCTATGTATTGTAAAGGTTTTTGTATATAGTACAAGATTTCTTTTTCCTAAAGCTGCTATATTCTCAGCCTTGACTATTTGGGGAACTTTGGCAAAAGAAATATCTTCATGGGTAAAATTAAAACATGCATCCACAACAGTCAGGCTACCAAACTTAATCATTTATTTTATTTAAAACTTTTAAAGAGGAAAAGAACCCCATGTATATGCATTGCAGAATACAGTAATAGCAAAATAGTAAAAGTTTACTAAATTTAATCTTGATTTAACAAAAACAGGACAGAAGAAAAAAAAAAACCACAAAAGCTAGCAACTGCTAACTATTTCGTAACAGCAAGCTCTTATGTCCATTAAGTGGTTTTATTTCCTTACCCAGACGAAGACATTGTCGCAGAATTCCTCCAGATGACATATTTTTCTCAGACTCAATTTCAGTGAAACCAAGAGAGCTTGCAAAAATTAGCACATCCACAAGGTTGATTAATCTCTGGAGAAATGTTAAAGATGCTTCTACTGAAAGTCCTTGAGTTGGCTCAATATTCTCCAATTCATGCTACACAGAAAAATTGAAAGCAACATTTACTACTTCACAAAGGTAATATTCCTACAACTTAAACGAAGAAAAAAATTATTCTTGAAGTCCACTTTCAATCATATTCAAAAGTATTAATTAGTCATATTCCAGGAACAATCACTAGTATTGGGATTTAATCCCATTCCAGATCGCTGTGGGACAATGAAGCTAGGCAATGAGGGCAGACATCCAATTTATCTTAAGGAAAGCCTTGAGGTAGCAAAGGGAGGAAAGAGATGCTTGTGGAAATATCCCACACACATTTCTGTTTCCCGAAGGACAGATGTAATAGTTAATACACTGTATAAAGAAAGGCATCCTCACACAAGACATACATTTTAAAATAAAAATGGTATTTCTTACAGTAGCGGATGTGGCAGCAGAAAGCAATGGCAATATACCCCCACAAGCCATGACCATGTTGTCCATCACTTGAGAGATGAGGTGAATCGTATTGTGCACAAATATGACGTTGTCACTGCTATTCACAAAGTCCATCACAGTTTTTGTAGAATGGCTGACCAAAAAAAAAACCCACAACTTTATTTCTGTGGCTTTTTAGCATCTTTATGCTTTCATAAAACTAAAACCAGACAGTTAGTGGGGCAGCAAATAATACACGATCATAAGGGTCAACTGATGTACCTTAATCTAAACCTAAAACTACCTTTCCTTTCTGTTCTTAAATCTCTCCAGATCATAGCTTGCTAAAAACATCAAGATGTGTGTTAATCATCGTTTGGTTAAAGAATAGGCTGGTCTATGACTACTTTTTGTATACTGTACAAAAACTATAGCAAAAGTGACTGTATCAGGCAATACAATAAAGTTTCCTGGAAGTGGGAACTAGATTTGAACTTCAATCTTTGCAAAAATAATGCAATACTAAGGGCTTCTCAGAGAAACTAAAAATCAACAAAACACAAAAAATAAATCCTGTTAAACATTATAACAGATTTTCAAAACGGAACCTAAACAAAAATATATTTTAGCTATATCCAATGATGTCCTGAGAGCTTAATTTAATCACATCCTAGAAGTTACAGTTAGACAAAAATTCACCTTAAATACTCTATTTCTTCATCCGTATATTCCTTTTTATCGGGCCAGTATAGCCATATGGTTCAATTTAAGTTTGACATTCACTACTAGGAGCTAGTAATAGACACCACTCCTATTTAAGTTATTCTTGATGATTACATTGCAGATCCCTGTTACAAGTTAATTTTTAAATGCATAGAACACCTCTGTGTTCACAGAACCCTATCAAAGCAGCCACCCAGTGTGTCTAAATACAGAAGTAACAAATACTATTTGGAATAGATTTTTTTTTTGTCCATATTTAGATACTAATACAAGATGTAGGCCCTTACATACATTAGGAACATGAAAATCATGGTCCAATAAAAATCAATAGCAAGACTGCCATTGACTTAAGTGTAGGCAGGATTTCTGTCAAAATATATGTGCAGGACCTCAACCAATACACACTGATGTCCATAAAGATTTAAAAAAAACCCTGAGAATATTTGGGTATAGGTCACAAAATAAGTAAGGCTGCTGAATAATGAGTAAATTATCAGATGTGCAAAATTCGAAATCAAAGAGTGACTCCAATGCAGTTTCAATAAAATCTGAAGTTAATTATAATTGAAATGTCAGTCTAGATCATTCCATATAAAGCATAGAAATTTACCTTCTCCACATCTGTATATCTGTTTCTATGGAAAAGAGTAAGTCCGTAAGCAAGCGCTGATGCATCAATGACCACTTAAACTCAGGAATACGGAACACAGTTGACCTAGTGTCTCGTCTCTGCCCATCTGATGTAGCAGCTAGCTCTTGTCCTGATGAATCTTGCTGCCTTGAAGTCTGAATACACAGTTTACAGACACAAAAAAAAACCCCACCACACTCTGGTTATTAGTTTCCACGGCATACACTGACATGCATTTAATAGACTTGAGATTTTAGAAATTCAACAAGTTTAGACTGTTTACATGGTTACAAATAAAGCTAAAACTATTACACAAATGCTATTTACTGGATATACCAAACCTACAAACTAATCCATAGCTGCACTACCACACCTGCCAGTCTAGACATACACAAGCAGCAACCCAACCTTACCACAAGGGGAGTATATGTTGCTGTAGACAGTGGTTTTCCTCCTTTAAGGAAGAATGGTGTAGAATGAAGAGCATCCATTAGCAGGTATCTCTGCAGAAGGGAATTACTCAGATACATGATTATTTAACCAGGACAAGCTGAGTTAGAAACTAAAGACTAGAGGGGTGGAGCACTGCAGCATGCAGCAGAAGCCCAGTTTTAAATTACATTTGCACAAAAAAGGTAGGCTGATGTGATGGAGTGATAATACTAACAAATTTTGTAGTTTCAAATATATATATTTATATTTTGTGTACCTGCAGAGTAGCTAGCGTAAAAAAATTTTTTCACAAGTTCCACTAGCATATGAAAGAAACTTAGTGCTATTTTTTTCTGTACAAGAAATGTTTGCTTCTCAATAATTACGAGTTGAGATTATAAGAGAACAGACTGAAAAGCATCAAAGGGAGGTTGAGTAAAGAAGCAGAAGAAATTCGAGATCAAATCCTCTCAGAATATATAAATGTTTCTTTCAATTCTTCAAACTTAAGAAGTACCAACACAGATGATGCTTCCATCTAGTCAAATACTCAGTCTCCATCAGCACCCATAAGTGGATATACAAAGACTAAAATCTTAGCGACTTCTCAGTACAAAAATTAGTAAGACTAATGGCTATTTTAATTAAGGGCTGAAAGTATTCTTTAGATAACTCAGAAAATCCACACACATTACAAACCCCAAAATGTGTATGGGCACACTTTTTCAAAAATCTCATAAAATAAGAACTTCCTTTTGTATTTTAAGCCAGACAAATGAAGGACAGGTAGAATTTACCTCAGGTATGGATCTGGAGGGTAGAGGTGCTTCTAGACATGTGTTAGCTTTCAGTTCCAGTCTTTCTGTATCTGATGCAACACTAGAAACATCAAGCTTGGCGATTCTTTTGTCAGAGGCTCCAGCAGGCTCTGGCACATGTGTATTTGCATTTTCTTCTGCTGTTTTGGTTTCACTAAAACCAAACTTTTCTTCCTGCAGCTTCTTTTTCCCTTTCGAATCCGGTTGAGTCGCTGCTTCTTGAACTGCAGAACTCACTGTTTCCGGTAAAGAAGTCCATTCTAGTTTTTTCCCATCCACACCTTCAGTATCTTCGGATTTTAAAAGCACAGGTGCAGATTGTTTCTTTATTGCTTTTTCCTGCTTTGTCATTTCAATTTCATTAGAGCTATGTTCCCTGTTCGTTTCTGCAAACTCTTCTGAAGGTAAAGGCATACTACTTTCCCCTTTCAAATCAACAAAGCCATCTTCATCTTCCACCTCCACTGTTGATCTTTCCAGTCTTTCTGGACTTTCAGGAGTTTCTCCTTCCAAAGTAGTTTGCATTGCTAAAGAAGCAGCAGTGACAGTTACCGTTTCTTCCACAAACTCGTCAGCTTTGCTCAGAGAATCTTCAATTGCTTCAGCTATTCCAGAACTAATTTCTGAAACACTGGGCTTTACTGCTTCTGGTTCTGTAGAAAATTCCGCACAAGACACTGCTTTTAAATCCTGTGCAGTCTCCCCGTCTTCCCCCTCTAACTCCTCCCTATGATTAGACACTGCATGAGTTTGTGGGTCACCATCTGATGAGGTATTTGTCTCTCTTTTTTCAGTATTGTGCTCCATATCATCATCAATAATGCAGGAAGGAGCAGTAATATCTTCTTTGAGCTCCAAACGTTGTTGCTTTCCCTTGGTTTCAGCTTCTTCGCTAACTCCAGAGATAGTTCTAATTGGAGTTGAAGAACAGGTTCCACTCCCTTCGCCACCTTTCCCTTGGTACTCCCTGTACATTTGTGAAAGAGTCTCTTTGTGCATTTCAAAAGTTACCTAAAAGAACAGAATTGAAAGTACATTAAAAATTATATATTAATAACTCTTTTCTCTGAAAAAAGCCCAACAAAATCATTGCTCAAATCACAAAGTTATACTATAAATTTATATTGGATATTGTCCTCATGATAAAAAATAATTTCACATTGGAGATCACTTCAACTGAGAGCAAGTTTTTCTTAAGTGTACCAGTTATTCCTGGCCAAAAGAAAGAAAATGGGGAAAAAAGTAACACCAGAGCCAAAAAATCCTAGACTGATACTGAGGACAGGAAATTAAATGTTTACTAAAAGTAATCAGAGTTTTAAAGACTACTTCTAGTAAAAGAAGTGAAAATGTTTAATATTCATAGTTATTTATAGTTAACATTTGCATTATTTCCTACGCTAATTACAGTTATCTGTGCTACTTGCATTCATGTAATTGTATAGGATGCAGATAAAAATGTGCTGGCAGAGCACATTCCAGACAATTACTAAATTTGAGATAGCTGACAATCTCAACTCTTTTGTTGAGGGGAGGACACTGTGACAAGTAGTAGGGACACTTATTATAGCTGAGCTTTTCACATCATCTTAGCACCTTGAGTATGCTCAACAATCCACAAAGATAAATAAACTTCTCAGAAGTTTACATAAAAAAATACAATCCCACAAAGTCAGAGAAGAGAGAAGCATGTAATGAAGCCAAAATCCTGAGGATCTCCAAACGATACCTAAAATTCTTGAGAGGACTTTTCTTCTGGTGAATGCTACTCACCAAATCTAAAAGGCACATGAGAACAGCTATGCAATCGGATTAAAGTGAGAACTTCCTACGGATGAGCTGAAAAAAAATTACTATGGTTGCTAGGTACGTTAAAAAAAATCCAGATAGAAAAATTCTTTACATACATATGAATAAAACTAATTTGCCCAAATAAATAGCCGTGTGTTGAAAGAAACTCTCACTAGACTAGCTGAAATTTTTATTACACTGTCATTCAATTTAGTTTATCCATACCTTTCTATTTAGGATTTAGATTTATCTTCTACAACAGAAGTGTTTATTTATCTGTAAGCTCAGTTCTCAAAATTTTCCCAATATATAAACTGCAGGTGAGAGTTTCTTTTTTTAAAACCATTTCCTTTATCATAAACATTTGCCATAGACAAAGCAGAGCAGTACATTTTACTAAAGATACGAATACACATTTTCTTATTCTCTTACATACTAAATTCATTCATTTGGATCTCATCTAAAAATTCCATGCACATGTTATTCAAAGTGACGATTAGTCAGTAGGAATATTTTCTCTTAAGACAATACAAGTAAGTCAAAAACTAACTGGACAGGTTAAAAAGGTACTAGAAATTACAGTTCACAAATCAGAGAGGAGCAAAGAAAGGACAAAGGTAAAAAGGAATATTCTTGGCAGGTTGTGTTGTCAACATCAGCTTTTTAACATACTATTTTCTCCATCAATCAAATATAAATTAAAGTACTGTAGGAGCAGTGTACTATTCTAACACATGACCTGAAGCTTGTTACTTGTTCAAGTCGATTTAATTGAAACTTGAGGCTCTAACAATAGAACAGAGTTATCTTCCTCCTCCTCCTTTAAAAAAAGGAAGCCTTCCTGTACTAGTTTTAAATCAGTTATGTACAAACGAAAAAGTATGACTGATTACAAATGACTGAAAGTTCGTCCATCTGTCACAATAGTTCTATAAAATATTTGATTACAGAGTATTGCCAAATAGAGCATGTGGGGGGCATTATTACTTCAAAAATACTTCCTCCCTGAACTGCACCACAGCCAGGATGTTAAAAGCAACCCAAAATAGATCATGCTAATAAGCTCTCCCTTGCACTTCTAATTTGTTTTCAAATCATGACTAAGCAAAGCTGCTACTTTTGGTCAAATCACTACTTTTCTGAATAAGACATCTTGACAACTCGAGCTTATCTCCACCTCGCTTTCCCTCTTCTCTCTCTCCCTGTTGCTTCCTCCATTTCCAAAACTACTAAAAAGTTTTATTCCAACAAGTACTAAAGAGACATTCAACAAATAAAAGCACCGTTGGTTTATTTCAGCAAAACTTATCACACGTACTTCCCAGAAAGCACGCTGAACCACAATATGTATACATGTTACCCATGCAATGCAAGTATAGCTGTAACCAATCTGTGATAACACGGCTACCTTTATTCATTTCTGTCTTCAGCATCAGACTTGCTATTGCAACATTCATTTTGAAAAATACATGGAAAAAATGACTCAAAAGGATTTTCAGGCTTTAGCTACACTGCATACTCACTTTTTTAACATGAAGTTACATCCAAGTATGAGACCTGGATTCTACTCTGGTTATGCACTGCTTCCAAAACCATTGAACAAATCTCAGGCCTAGCCTCAAAATCTTATTTCTCTACTTCCCTTGAACCAGGGCAAGATAAAGATGAAGACGAGAATGACACTTTTTTCTTTTTCTTTTCTTTTTTTTTTTTTTTTTCTTTTGTGGAAAGGGGCAAATGAGGGAGACACACATGTCAAATTCTATTACTGCTGTAGCCAGCTCTCCCCAATACAAATGGGGATAGGTACTATGACACCAAGATGATCACAAGAGCGGCCGGAGGGACCTGTTACAAAACATGATTTTCTTCAGCGCTCAAACTTGAGTGCCACGGAGAGCAGTGCACGACTCACAGAACACGTGCAATAACAATGCAATCAATGGAATAAATCAGAGAGATGTTTTGCAGGGCTCACAGTTACTAAATTCACCTTGCAAAAAGGACACATCCACAGTGATGGAAGATTTTAACCAAGCAACACTTGATGCTTACGCTGGTCCTTACAAAACACACCAAGCTTTAACAGCAATATAAAGTTCTAAGTTCTGCAGCCCTATCTATGTAAGTGCTTTGATAAATTACCATCCTGGTTAAAGTAAAGTGCAAGCATCAAGGAATATAACTTTAAATGCATTCTAAAAGCATATCATCAGTCCTGTTACAGCTGCTTTCCCCTAGCACTTCAAGGAATCACTGAGCTTGAGGCCAGAAGTAACATCAGACATCTAGCCCAGCTCTTCATTTTAACCCACTTTCCTACATATGGAGCCCAGTAACACGGATTGGATCACAGCATACGGAAAGTTGTCCAGCCTTGGTTTTAGAAATCAAGGGAAAAAAATCTCCCCTGGATGATTTGTTCCAAATCTACTCTACCATCTAAAAATCTTCATTTTGAAAGTCTAGCTTCAATTTCTAGTCATTAATTATGCCTGCTTTTCAGAGCTATTAAAAATACTTCAATGAAGAAGAAATACCTTGTTTTCAAGGTTTTGTTTTTTTTTAATTTACATACTATAACAACGTTTTTAAAAGCCCAAAAGATAGAGAAGTAACAAGGCCATCTAAAAAAGAATTAGTTTTCATTCTGAAGGACTAGAATACTTCCTGTGACGCCCCTTCTGCAACATTTCCAGCTCTTCGGAAAATGTTTAATAACATGAACGTATATATTTTCATGCATCATTCTAGTTTAAGTCTCATTAAACACACATGCAGGAGAGTAAAAGTAACCTACTTTATAGCTTCTCACTTTCCACTTCACAAACACATTCTACAGTGCTGGCAATTACTTTTGTAGAAATGGTCAGTTAGTTTATCTCAGTTTGTATAACCTGTGATGCACTCTTTTTCTGTAATGCTGACTTTTTTCTAGTATGCTACCAAGCCAATTGCCTTTACAAAAGCCTATTGCAGCTTCAGATTTTCTCTTATCAATCAAATTTAACATCTTGTTAATAGCATTAAATGAACCTTGGCTGAAAACAAATCAAAATCCTCTCTCCTCCCCCCGCCTCTAGATCCCAAACTCCATCATCTCATGGTCATTGCAGCCAAGGTTGACTCTGACCTTCACATTCCCAACAAGACTCTTGTTGTGGGCGAGTATCAAGGTCCAGCAAAACACCCATCATCACTGGCTCCTCTATCACCTGGAGGAGGAAGAAGTTGTCAATGAACTCAAGGAACCTCCTGGATTGCTTGTGTCCTGCCATGTTGTCCCTTCAGCATATACCAGGCCCATGAGGGCCAGGGCCCACAAACATGAGGCTGCTCCTATCTGTCTGCAGAGGACCCCATCTGTATGTTCTTCCTGGTCAGGTGGCCTGTAGCAGATGCCCACTATAATGTCACATTTACCTCTCCTCACTTTAATCATAATCCAGAAACTCTCAGTTGGCTCCTTACTCATCCCTGGGCAGACTTCCATGCAGTCTAATTGCTACGTCACATAAAGGGCAACGCCCATTTCTCACCTTCCCAGTCTGTACTTCCTAAAGAGCTGGTATCTCTGCATTGCATCACTCCAGTCACAGTATCCCTCTCACCACATCTCTGTGATCCTAACAAGATAGTTATGTGTATGTCATACTTTGTATTACTTTACTGAAAGCTCCAGATTTCTGGCCCCTCATTAACAACTTCATTGCCTCGTTAATAAACATGCCATAACCAAGATTTCAGTTATTCTTAAATAGTTTCAGTTCTTATTGCCTTGCCAACAATGGAGTCCCTCTGCCTCCAAGCTCATTCCTTCACATCATAACTTCTCATTCTCATAAGGACACCTAAAATTTCAGTGCTGGAAGAAAAGTTCATCTAGATCTAAGACCCCTACTTTTTATAATCCAAGCAATCACAAAACCAAATTCTATCTAAAAACCAGCCACTGTTTCAGCAAAGCCCTGCAGTATTTATTAGCAAGATATGCTTAACTTATTAATTATTTGAAATCTTCCCATGCTACTTTCTCTCTTTGGTCTCTTAGGACAGTTTACTGTTGCACGGTTTGTTTTTAATAACCTACATGTGCTACCTTAAGTCAGATAGGCACCATAGGTATTTGTACTGCTTTTGAATGTTAACATGGAAATCATAAATTACAAACCAAGTTTTGTTTTTCCAACTAAGACTGTTGAAAGTTACAAGTTCTACTG